AAACAGTTTCTTTACATTCCACATTAGATCGCAGAAAACCTTTGTAGAAATATTTACCCAGTCGCAACTTTTCAAAGTGTTCCGGAAACAGCGCTGCAATTGCAAGTGCTACTCCATGCCTAACAACCCGAGGGATAACAGTTTTGCCCCCAGGACCTTCAACTTCAGAAACAACGTCGATTTTTCCTAAGAGGTCAGTCACTATCAAAGGTGCATAAAAAATTTCCCTAAAAAGGTTTGTTGCGTAACCTTCAAAAAGTGTGCCATAAACCTAATGCAGTTTTCGAGTACAATTCCACCAGAGGTCTTCAATTAAAAGAAATAAATATCGTGAAGTTACGCCACCTTGCTAATAAAGAGCGGAAGCAGTCAAGAGTAACGCCGTTAACCAGGTACTTCCCACTGCCGAATTCTGTAACAGTTGTATGAGCCGATGAACGCTTAACGACTGTTTTCACCCTTGCAAAACGCCGTTGCGTCTCCGGGTCTGTCTCCACCTCTGGGATCTGAAGCTCTCTTTTAAAACTTCATATTATCTCCACACAAACAATTATTCAAATTCTTAATAACTTTTTAAAAAGAAATGCGGTTCAAGGCAACGAGGACTTCGAGTCAAGCTAACTGCAGTTGTTAGAAAAAAAGCTAGTCTTAAACTTGTCAAAAAAACTATCTCATAGAAAACACGCACTACTTGAGTCTAAAATGCAATAAAAATTTCCGACTAACTTGTGGGCCAAATAACCTGCTCTCGGTATTGCCAGTGACCCCCTGACGGAATGCAAAAATATAATCCTTTTCTTTCCATGCAAGAGGAAGAGATGCCAGATTTTCCAACGCCACAATAAAATAAGCGTACTTGAAAACAAAAGACTTAGAAAACTTCAGGAAAAAATTCCACTTCAGAAACAAGATTTACGGAACTTCAGATATAAAATGAAAACCAGTCACTGAAGAAAGCAGGACAAGCGCCATTTAAAGTTCTTGCCTCAAAGATGTAACAAAGAAAAAAAGGATAAAAATGTCCAACCATATCAGAAACGAAATCCAAAGTCATACCGTATCATCGTTTAGAACTTCTCCAATTTTAGCTTCCACAGCTTTTTTGTCAAGCCAAAAGCTGCCAGATAAAATACTAAAAAGTGTTGCCACCACTGCCTCATTTAAGAAAATTCACTAGGTATAATGGTCGAGAAGGAAACGGAATGAAGATGAAATTATTAAAAACTTAAATCGAAGAGTAAAAGCTTGACTATGAGATTTCATTCTAATTTTAAACAAAAAAACTGACAGCGGTTGACATTCTTCTTTACTCTTCTGAGAATGAGGATCGGAGTAGTATTCTCGCGATAAATCCATCGTTTTATTTCCAATTTCCTAATAAAAAGACTTTAAGAAAATGATTAGAAAAACCCGATATTAATAATAATAGTAACATTTCAAAAAGCCTTGATTTTTACAAAAATGAAAGCCTACGACTATGGTTTCATTACTAACCAGGTGGAAAACTGAATGCAAGAAACTTACAGAAAGGATGTGGTAGAACTTAGGTCTTAAAGAATAGAAGAGGGAGTCAAGCGGCCGGCCTTCCTCATCAAACTCTAGCTTCTTGAACTTCGGAAAAATTTCTTCGGGTGGTTTAAGTACCGGAAGTGCTTTTTTATCTGTTAACCCAGATGGAAATAAATACTCGATGGCTCTAAATATCAGACAAGTTGCCTCAAAAAACTGTGTTTACATAATGAAAGTAAATCAAAGCTTGGCAAATTATGGCGCAATATTAAACAAAAAAGCAGTCATTGTCACTGCAAAAGCTGACTGTCTGATCAAGAAAACAACAAGCTTGTTAGAGAGAAATGGTAATAACGCGCTGGGCTTTGCTTAATTCTTTACTGGAAGATTGGATAGTAAAGTCAGATTTCATACTGACAACTTTAAGTTTCTATATTCTCCAGAGTTTGTTAGAAGAAATCCGGCAGTAAAGAGTTCATACAAATAAAACATTGAGGACTGGCCGGGATATAAAGTAAAAACTTACAAACAGCTATAAGCAAGATTTCAACCTGTCAATATCCTGCTGGGTGATGGTGTTGATGTCCAGTCCCATGATATTGGCTAAATGTCTTTTTCCTAGCTCATATTGTTCGCGTTCTTTCGCCATCATTTCCGTATAGCTACGAGCTGACTTCAGGTAGACTTCCATGGCTTTACTAACCACCTTCATCCGGTAACTGCTGGTGGCTGTCTCATCGCCTCCGTCGTATGTATAGTCGTCAGAAACTGGAGCTGCGGTACGGACAACAGATGATGACGGCCTTCTGAAGTTCAAAG